CTGTCAAGCCGGGTTTTATATTCAGTGGATGCCAACCTGATACATTGATATTTATCAGAAATTTTCATTTGGAGCCAACACAATTTTTCAGCATGAGTGCCTGGTAATTTCTAATAAGTAAGCATTAATCCTGTGAAGCAAGAATAAAACATTTGGTTTCAGCTTTTAACCCTGCACTACGTAACTACTGATGGGTACGGGGTTTGCTTTCATCAGCTTGTTTTGGAACGAGTATTGACCAGGAAGAGGCTTATCTTGCCATCGTTTCTGCATTTGGTACATTGCATTTGCTTTTGCTTTCTTTTTAGGTTCTTTGCCACTGCAGTTGATATATTATGGTTTATTCATCACCCACTTGAAACTCCCTTTTGAATTTGTTGGCTTCCCATATCACTGAATAAAGTTTCATCTTCTCCTTCTTCTTCTTATTGTTCTTTTTATTATTATTATTATTATTATTATTATTATTATTATTATTATTTGATTTCCTTTGATTTCGGGTGTATAAACATTTCTTTCCGGGTCCCGCCCAGAGACCTAAGGTCACAAATGGCAACATGACATTTTCCACTGACCAATTAAAACACACACACACACAGAGACACACACACACACACATTTTACAGCCCTTCGTAAGGTGTGGGCTGTACTCGTGAGAACAATTTTTTTTTTATTTCTTTAAGACATGCTATTCAAGGGATTCCATTCAATGAGTCTACTGGAATCTTTTCCAACCAATCCGAGGGCTCCAACTACAACAGGGATTGTTGATGTTCCCAGGTGCCACATTTTTTAGATTTCGATTTCAAGGTCCTTGTATTTTGACAGCTTTTTGAATATCTTCAAAGATACATTGCAGTCCGCAGCGACTGCCATATCAATAAGGTGACTTTTTTGTTTGTTTGTTTGTTTGTTTGTTTGGTCTCTGATAACAATGTCTGGGCTGTTAGCTTTGATTGTCCTGTCTGTGTGTATTGTGTAGTCCCATAAAATTGTTACAGGTCCTATGTCCGTAATTGGGTCTGGGTGGTGTCTATACCAAATTATTATTATTATTATTATTATTATTATTATTATAAGCTTTATTATTATTATTATTATTATTATTTCTGCTATGGACACACTACCTACCAAGTCTGCGGAAAGACCTAAGGCAGGTCGTGGTGTGTTGTTATGGCCACATTTCATGTTAATTTAATTTTTTTTTTTTTTTTTTTTTTTATCTCCGATGAAGTTGCTAGCGTTACATAGACAAAGTTCTCCTTAGTGTGTGTGCTGTACTTAATAAGACAATTTTCTGTATGTCTCTTAAGCTGGGGTTTCCAGGGATTCTTTCAATGTGTTGTTTTGTTCCATTTTTTATAATTCCAAGTGCACCTATTACCACTGGTATTATTCTTGTTTTCAATTTCCACATTTTTTCTATTTCAATTTCCAGGTCTTTGTATTTTGATAGTTTTCAAATTCCTTGGTTGCTATGTTACAATCCGCTGGACAAGCCATATCAATTAGTAGGCAAGTTTTTTCTTTCTGGTTTTTGACAATAATGTCCGGCCTATTTGCTTCAATTTTTCTGTCTGTGTGGATGGTATAATCCCATAGAATGGTGACATCTTCTATTTCTGTAACCGGCGCTGGCCGATGTTCATACCAGTGTTTGCTTACACATTTTCCAAAGTGTTTGCACATTGTCCAGTGTAAGTATTGCCCCACTCTATCGTGACGATTTTTATATTCATTTGGGGCAAGTATAGAACATCCTGAGATTAGATGGTCTATTGTTTCTTGGTATTTGTCACAGAACCTGCATTTTGGATCCACATTATTATGTATGATATTTGCCTGAAAATTCCTAGTGAAAAAGACTCTGGTCTTGCGCTGCAAGAATAAAGCCTTCAGTTTCAGACTTTAATCCAGATGCTCGTAACCATCGATGAGTATTAACTTTATCAACATTGGGTTTATTTGCACGTTCTGGATATTGGCCATGCAGAGGTTTGTCTTGCCAGCGTTGTTTCATCTGTTCAAGGGCTTTATCCTTGGCTTTTTTTTTTCATATCTTTTGCTGCAATAGTTGGTTCTTGGCTTCTGTTTTGATTTACTACAGAATCTACTAAATGTAAATGTTGTTTGTATTTACTGCCTTCTTTTATTATTGAATATTTTTTCTTTCTGTTTTCATGTTGTTTCACTAATTTTATCATCCAGTCATTTGTTGTTTCCATGTAAGTTAGTAAGCCAATAGTTGTTGTCTTGTATGACAATTCTAGCTGAATAAGACCTCTTCCACCTTCTTTACGGGGTATGTATAGACGGTCTACATCAGCCTTTGGATGATGCATCTTATACTTAGAAAGAAGCTTTCTTGTTTTAGAATCCATTTGTCTGATGTCATTTAGAGTCCAGTTCAAGATGTTGAAACTATATTGGACCACTGGGATGGCTAGGTTATTAATGGCCATAATTCTGTTCTGAGAATTCAATTCAGTTTTTAATACCAGTCGTACCCTTCTATAGTACTCTTTTACGCACTATTTCTTTCATTTTCTTATGGTGAATTCCTTCACTCTCATTTACACCTAGGTACTTATAAGCTTCTCCTTGTTCTAAATCTTTTTATTGTTACAGCAGGGTCTAAACTAATAGAGGAAGTTTGTTGTAGCGATCCTCGTAAAACTGTAGCTTTAGCACATTTATCCAAATTGAATTTCATTCCGATGTCTTCACTGAAGCATTTTACAGTTTGCAGAAGACCTTCCAGCTCATTGTCATTCCTAGCATACAATTTTAAGTCATCCATGTAAAATAGATGGTTTATTTTCTTTTGAGCTATTTTGTAACCGCATTCTGTCTTGTTAAGTTGGCTGGTTAATGCTATAAGTGATATGCAAAATAATAAAAGGAGACAAAGAGTCACCTTGAAATATTCCTCTATTGATGTTTATTTCGCCAGACTTATAGGTTCCATTTTTATGATTGAGGTAAAGTGTAGTTTTCCATATCGACATACATTGTTTGATGAAATTGATGATAACGGGTGATACCTTGTACATACTTAAAGACTTTAAGATCCAGGAATGTGGTACACTATCGAATGCTTTACGATAATCTATCCAGGCAATACTAAGATTTTTTTTTTTCCACGGAAGCAGTTTTCCAGGATCATCCTATTAATAAGTAATTGGTCTTTACATCCGTAGCAGCCTCGTTTGCACCCTTTTTTGTTCAAGTGGTAGTATGTCATTTCTTTCCAAGAAGAAATATGTCTGTTTTGTTAAAATAGATGTTAACAGTTTGTATGTTGTTGGAAGACATGTAATTGGTCTATAGTTTTTCGGAATATTTGTGTCACTATTTTTGGGTAGAAGAAAGGTAACTCCTTTGGTCATCCATGCAGGAATTTTAGTTGGATCGGTAACCATTTCTTGAAGTTCTTTGGCGAGTTTTTTTGTGTGCTGTATTTAAATAATATAGCCAGAAGTTAGAATTTTATCTATTCCTGGAGATTTCCAGTTGTGTGCTTTTTTTCAGTGCACATTTAACATCTTCTTCTGTGATTCCGCCCATGTCTGTTCTGTTTTATTTTTCATTCGTTCTAACTCTTGCGCAATCAATCTGCCTCTTCGTTGTGTTCTTTAGGGCAAGCCCATATTTTTCCCCAGAACTGTATAACTTCTTCCATTTTAGGGGGGACTGTCACTTCAATTCTTTGTTTACCTATTTCCCTGTAAAATTTCTTTGCATCGGTTTGAAAGATCTTGTTCTGTCTATAGAATCTTGATCTTTTCTCGTAGCGTCTTATTCTTTGAGCCTTCAGTTGTATTGTTTGCTTTATTTTTTCTTTTAGTTGATAGGACTTCATTTTCATTCCTGATATTGTATTTTCTTTCGACTCTTCTGCCTTTTCTAGTTCTTACATTTACTCCTCTTGCTAGTTCATCGAGTACTGATAATTCACTTCTAAGGTGTTCAATTTCTTTTTCTATTTTTCTTTTCCAAGGTGGATCTTCATGTCTGTGAGACTGCCTTTTTTTTACTTTGATGTTCAGTTTATTTGTTGCTGCTATTGCTGATGCATATATTGCTTCATTGAGATTTATATGAGTGTCTTCTTCATCCAGAATCAATTTGAGTGCTGCATTATAGAGCTTAATAGTTTTGAGGTTATGCTTTGTTGGTTGTAATTTTGGGAGTTGTTCTCGTTCCTCCATTGCAATATTCTGTATCTGACTTATATGGCTCATGATTTCATCCTTGGCTTCTTGTATATTAATCTTGTTTTCTGTGAAATAATTCTGTTCGATGAATTTTGAACTCGTTTTATTACCGTCTTGTGACTGACTAAGATCATACCTTTCCAACATTTCTAAATTTTCAGCATTATCTTCACAGTGATTTGTGTGTATTTCGGTTTTTTCATTATGACCTGAGGCTTGTGTGATGTTATTACTTTTTTTTCCCGATTCGGTTCCTTTTCATGTTTTGTTGGTTCATCTATTCTTGTTGCAATTCTTTTTTATTTCATTAATTTCAGCCTCTGTCAATCGGTTATTTCGCATGATGTCCCTTCTTACATTGGCTAGTTTATTTTTGTCTATGTACTTTCTAATTGTTTGCCCAACCTTCTCTCGCCAAATGTCATATGTTTGGCGAGTGATGTTTTTCTGAGGTTTGAGTAACGCTTCATGGAATGCAGTCATAACAACTTTGTACTCCTCACGAGACCATTTTATTTTTTCTTTCCTTAAATTTACGGTTATGGATCTAGCTGGAGAATTTACAGGACCATCATTAGGATTATCCTGGTTGTGGGGACCTGAAGATTCATTCTTTGTGTAGGAGTTTGTTCCTATGGCAGATTTTTCGACCTCAGGTAGGTTCCCTCCTGAAGGACGGGCTATTATTATTATTATTATTATTATTATTATTATTATTATTATTATTATTATTATTATTATTATTATTATCTTTCCCGCTTTTTTCAACCGGAGATCTTGTCTTACGACGACATCAAGTTGAAACACCGGTTCCTGTACGATCACCGAAGTTAAGCAACGTTGAATCTGGTCATTACCTAGGTGGGTGACAGCTTGCGAATACCAGGTGCTGTAAGCTTGAATGTACTGGTGTAATAGATACTGGCTCGGAATTGTTAATCAGAGAGTTGAGTTCTAATTCTCGTTGGGTTCGTTATATTCATTTAGGCGCAAATACCCTGGGGAAAGGTATGGATCAACCTCTTACCCCCACCATCTATGGGATAATTAGTATGACTTGTACCACTAAACCGTTATATGGGAAAGGTATGAATCCACTTCTCCCACCAACTATGGGTTAATTAGTAAGACTTGTATCACTAAATCATTATTAAAAACAAAAAATTCTTATAATCTATAAATATTTTCTGCAAACGGTTGATAAACCGTAGAAAATCAATCAACCGGAGATCTTGCGCTATGGGGTGCTCTCCATCAAGTAGCGTGAATTCAGACAGAGAACGCATTTCGAATATTTGCAGCGCTAATCAACACAAACTTGTGAAGAGATGGCATACTAGTTTTTTATTCCGGTTTTCTCGATTTAGCATTTTAAGTTCAGTGTTTATAGGCCACAATGCCCAAATGATATTTAGGACAATAGTAGCCTGAACCTCTCTCGTACTGGCCACTTCAGTCCAAAGGCCGGTGTATTTCTTGAGCTTGTTCCCTAATTTGACCTTGAGATTATGAAACGTGAGTAACGTGATGGCGATCGTGCTCATCTTGAAAATTTATTTATTATTTTAAAACTAGTGTACCCATACCGTCTAAATTGGTGGCAAGAAGGAATGTATTATAAGTAATATGTACTATATTTTAAGCAATTTTCGTTTAATCCAAGTACAATTTTGTAATTTAAAATAGTTCCTTGTTAACGTTAATAACTGAACAGTGTACAATTTATAAACACCTAAGGAAAGATATCCGTATATTATCCTCATAAATGTTACATATTTACAACCAAAATTGTTTACTGCAAATGTTCCCAAAGCACAATATTTTTTTGTGTAAACTTTGGAAGGTCTGAGTAATCCTTGACAGTCAGTAGATTCAATCTGTAACTTCAGAGTTTGTTTATTTGTCGTCCTACTAAGAGCAACGTATTATCAGATACTTTTTAAAATTGATTTTATTTTTCTCAACCTATTACCAAATTCCACAAGATATGCTCCGAATTGTAGCATAAAATCTGCATTAATTAATTAATTTAAGCTTTTAATTGCTATCATAAATAATATAAATGAAGGATGTAATGTGAATAAAAAACTCTTTAGGCGACTAACGAATTTTTACAAGAATTGTTCCCCACTCTTTTTTTTTTATTATAATTTTTAAGTTTAAAATGAATTTCTAAAAATAAACAAAGCATTGTTGAAGATATATGTGGCGTATTATAAGTACGAAGCCTCTTCGATAGCGATATCAGTACGCGTCAACGGGACTAAGTTTGCACGGCACCGACTGGGTCACCGTTATTTTACACAATGCCCTCACACACACACACACACACACACACACACACACACACACACACAAGTAAATATATATATGGCGTATTATATAGAGAGATTTTGTTATATTATGATGCATTTACATCTCCGCCACCAGGGGAGAGAAAGGAAATAGGGAAACGGGGATGATGATCCCGATGATCGGATGCGAGCGGGTGCCGACAACTATGAAAAATTAATCAAACAGTTTAGTATCAATCCTATAGAACTCTCCCGTTATTCTGTACATTTGCCCGGACAGGACATTAGTAGTTTGCAGACGTAACTATACTCATGCGTTTTATAGGCTGAAAGGTCGGTAGATATTTTGGATATTTTTTAGAATGCGCACTTTACGATTAACGACTGTAATTTCGACGAACGTCTTAAGGTTCACTTTTCTGCAATATTGTTACAGGAGATAAGAACTAATCTAGATTGGAAGTTGAATCAACGGTCAAAGATTCAATTTGTGGTCTGCTGCTATTAAATCTCATACCATGATGAGCCCACTTGTGCCACCTTGTCGTTCTAACTCTCACGTTCTTGGCAGAGTGTCGGAACATCCTCTAGCGCCAGATTAGTTCACAGACTGCGGTTCGAACTCTCATCATCAGGTCGTTGCAGGACGTGACCGAGTAGAGAATACGGCAATGTTGCGAAGAATGTCCGGCTGGCCGGTCCTCTGGTGGAGCTTCTCATTGGACACAAGATCGGACCCCTGCACCTTCTCGATGGTCGCGAGGACGCCGGACCCGAATCCCTGGACGCGAAAGACGAGGGTCTTGGTGTTGTAGAGTAACTCAGAAAGAACGGTGGCGTTGTAAACTCGTAGCTTGGTCCATCGGGATATGTCATGACGACGCTATAGTGATCTCCTGAGGTCTCTCATAATAACTTCAGCCAGCCCACATATTCTGTTGATCTCCGTGAAGGAATTGCCGGTGTTGGACACTTCTGCGCCCAAGTAT